ATGAGAAGGAATCAGGATAACATTTTACAGGTAAGATGAAAGGTAGGGTATGTACAATTCCAGTGTCTGTGACTACCAGAAGAGTATCTAAGAAAATCAGATGTTCAGCTCCACTTCCAGAGCTTGCAACTGCAGACATACCTTTGTACCAAGGTCCAGCAAACTTGCTTTATCAGGACATATTCCTGACCCTAAACCACCAAGGGCATAAGCAGAACGGATCATGACTGGGTAGCTAATCTTTTCAGCTGCCTTCAGAGCATCTTCAACCTTAAAGGAGATGAGAATACTTTTCAGAGGTATAATAACAATTCAAATGAACAAAGTCTCAGCTCTGGTTACACTGTTAACTGGAAATCTCATCTATAAAACACTCGGCTCTCTGTAGATAAAATGAAAAGAATAACAGTTGGGTTTATAATATTGCTTTGTTCTGCCAAACAGAAGAAAACTGGAACATGGACTCAAGGAGGGACTTCTGCCCTTAGCTATGTACGGACTTCATTGCTGACAACATACAAAGTCCTTAACTGGTCTGGCTTCACAGACTTTTTAGCATGAAATAACCCCTCCAACAAACATCCTGGTGCGGCTTCCTCCAAACTCCAACAGGAGCAGCACAGAAGCCACCCTGATCTAACTTCCTTTTCTTGTCAATGGGTAAATGAGCTTAGACTTTCCAGTTGCTTAATTGCATTTGCACTCATTTTAAATCCTGGTGAACCAGCATTAGTCAGTGGGGAGTGCTACAGTAGCCACAGTTGTATTGAGTTTTCACTCAACAAAACTAGAATGATTTTCTAATAACTCAAATGGACAACAGTAATAGCAATCACATCTTCAAAACCATCTGATTTACCGATTCCACTGCAAAGCTAGGAGCAATCTTTTCATTTAGCTCAGTCAGCTTATCACAAAAAAGCCTTCTGTCCTCTGTGGCCATGATGGATTCAACTGATGTACCTAGGACCTTCACACCATACTCCTGCAGGACTCCTTGCTTGAAGAGCTCCACTCCTGCAGAGTAAACAAAGCCACTGTTTTGAGGACTGACAGGAGGTGAAGAACAAAGTATTCAAAAGATATCTGACTAGTTGACAACTTTTCTGGCCTCATCAACAGCGAGTTTTATTATTCTTCGTCAGTATTAGAACTCAGAACTGTAACATGGAAGTTTCTGTCCTCACATCTATGAAACCTGAGCTACTAGTAAAGTTACTGCTTGACCATCATCTGCAACACAAACGAGTGCAGTCGGATATTGTTTGCAAGAAGCTAAACAAAGCTAATTTTCCTTTTGATCTCTGTCTCAAGGTGGTCTGAATATCCCAATCCAACTATGATAACCAGGACTTAAGCTGAAAAGGAGGATATAGGACTTACTTTCAAGTATCAAAATCAGCAATCAGATAATATGTTCTCAGCTTAGCAATTATTCACTCCCCCATGGTCAGTATCTTTGCCTGTAACCCTTAGTAACTCGGACAATGTACCAGGCACACGGGTATTGCACGTCTCCACAAATAAAGCCTGC